AACGGGATGGACTTCAGTGGGACATGTGTAGTGGGAAGAGATTACCCGTATCATATGGGTTTTCCTTGACTCGGACCATTTGGGTCAAATAGGTCTATGCCAGCTCCATACATGGACTCTTCGAAGAAGTTCATATATAATTCCGACACTATCAGGAAAGCTGAGGCCAAGATAAAGCCTTTGGGCATTGATCAACCCCATCTTAGGGGTACACCATTAATTCGACTTCCATTTAATATCGTAGTGACTTATTGAATGCGAATGTGGCCTATATAATGACTTGTGGTGGCTCAGCGACGTACAATCAGTGCTTTTATCCTCCCGAACGAGCCTGGTACCAATTAACCGACCCCGGAGGGATGGAAGGCCCGGTCAGCCTAGGCGGATCTCGATCCGAGACTCGAAAATGTAACCATGCGTGCCTGAAGTGCGCCACTTATCGGCTTCACCACAACCGTCCAATGACTTTTATCTATTATTTGTACCATAGTCTCGATGAGATATCCATTCAAAACCATTCTGAATGCAGTAAACAGGAATTCGGATGATAAACGTACAAATTCCTTGCACCCATTTTTCAGAAAGCGTTAACTGTTCACTTGATTTCATGGATGCAACTTGGGTGTGTGGAACAGGACGCTGAAGAAGTTCATGTCAGCTAGGATCAGTGATCCATCTTGATGATTGAGAGCGCCAATAATAAAGTCCTACCAATCTCTGCACTTTTAATGTTCGATGAGCACAGAGAATATGATAAATGTTGCAAATAGTAAACTAAAAATCTAATAGTAATCGATATCGAATGGTAGCAACAAAATGGTGTTCCAGTGAACTCAGCCTTGAACTTACAATTAGGATATTCCATACCACGATAAGGAAATGAGCGGCTTCAGAGGTCACGATAATTTTGATGTACCTGAACCAAAGAGCTTTCCCGCAGAATTGTTAAGTCAATAAGTGCTTGCATAAAGTAAAAATATGTACTCGTTAGAGCGTATCGAACTAGTCAAGCCAGTTGATAAAGTCTAGAAGGTGAGAGATACCAACAAAGTGCTAGTTTCTCCAGGATACCAAAAATAGAGTGAGATTTGTCTCGAAAGGTGACTCTTTCATGAACTGAACTCGTGCGTGACGGCTTACCAAATCGGGAAAGGTAGTGTCATCTATACAACATCGAGCACTTCACCTCTGACCAGCCCTGTGTATTGGTACTTTCCCTCCCTCTACATGCCACTACCTATACGACACATGTGAGAATAAGCTTGAAGAGAGGCAAGGGCAATGTTTTATGCCCGATAGTTTTTTGAATGCAAAAGTTTTCTCGATCAATTCGCCCCTCAGACATATGTGCAGGAAAATGCCCTCTTTGCTGACCAGAATCAAATCCTTCTGCCCCCAATTGCTCAATATCGACCCGGGGCTCATCCTTTGTATGATATTCGTAGAGCGACGGTGCTCACTCCAAAGAGGATAAGTGAAAGCCATCTGGGCAAGTGATAACTATGGTTTTCGGATGACCTCTGCTCCACCATCCATTTCTTAGAATGAGATTCTATCAGACAGGTCTACCTTTAATCATTCTCGGCAATTTCGGAGGTGTATCCGTTTTTTGTGTCAAAAGGAGCAAAACAGCTTGTTGTTTGAAAGAAGATAGACCAGTCGTAGGGTCAATATAGGCCTTCAGACAACAGGAAATGGCCACTGATTTGTTCGAGGCTAAAGTAACTCAAGAAGTCATTTCCAATGTAGCACTTAAGATCAGGACACGCCTGAGCTCCTCTCAAATCAGAAATCCATGCTGCGAGCTGTTGCCTAGCCTATACCAAAATTCTAGCCAGTACTTCTCGTTCTGATCAGTTCAAGGGGAATATTTCAGTTGATGTAGTTGCGATAAGTGGCCTTCGCCGGACACGAGGTCTGTTTGAGGCGCAAGGGCTTTGCGTTCGAGTGGTGGTGATGGTTGCGAGCCGTCGCTTTTTCCACCTTGTTCCCTTGCCCCCTCGACGACAGCTGATGTGCACTACGAACTCCTTGAGACGGCTTCTGTTTCAATATCAGCCAAGGTTTACCTGCATCCGTGCTATCAATATACGTTCTAGCCTACTTCGATTCCAACTTAGTAACTTACAATCTTTCGTCTATTTGCTCTTACTAATTACAGTCGGTTTCCAAGTATAACCTCGACTATGCCCTACCCTTGAATTGTAATTCTCAGATTGGGCGCGGCCAAATGGGGATTACCCAATATTGCCAACTGGTTTTTTGACCATAAAGGACCTCCGTATTGAATGCTGGATACGTTATTATTGTTTATGATTTTTTTTCTATTTCTGCACTGTCTATTTAGTAGAAGTTTACCATGTAGAGCTCTAACTTCTCGATGTGGAGGTGCACTTGAAACGATTTGTAACTTTTAGCTATTGTATCTTTAAAATTCAAGCCACGTGCTCCAAAGAAAGACTTTGAATATTCTATTCTCACTCTTTTCAAGAGCACCCTAGTTACCTTAGTTTTTCTAAGCTCTTTTGATCAAGGCTTCATCCTTTCTCATCTTACCACTTACAGTACTTATACCTTATTGATTAGTACCTTATTGATTCAATTTTTCATCAAATCCCATTCGACTCCTTAGTAACCTGAACATATCCCCTAAATGATATAGGATTCGAACATTTTCGTGATGCTTATGAACGATTTCCAAGGCACCCTATATATAGTATGAAAATCTCTTAGAAGGTTGCCGCTATTTACATAACCTCGAAAACCCCTGTTCGAGATAAACATCTCGAATTTCATCGTGTCTGAAACTGAAGCTGTTGACCTAAACTGCTTCATTCCATTGAATTGTATTCTTAGAAAAAGAGATAAAAATAGGGGACAACTGGCAATAAACAGATGGTCGTGGTCATTTGGAAGGGCTCAAACTTATCGATATCTGGTCGAAAAAAAGTAGTGCCAGGCTTTAGACACCAACATTGACTTGGATATTCACTGAACCTAATGATTCACCTCTACGACCCTTCTATCCTTGCTAGGTTTCTGCAAAAGAAACTGCACTGTGTGGTCTATCATTTGTCAAAGGACATCATTTTGTGGTATTGTAGAGAGAAGTAGACGTCCTACCGATTTCAGTAGGATTTTCGGTGCTTTTGAAAACCAATTACCTAGAAATTTGAGAAGTTTTGTATCGGAAGTCACTTCTGGATAATAGGGCGGAGGCAAAAATTGATGTGAACGATTTTTCGGTGACGTTTTGGGATCACATACATTCTTCCTGCGGGTCTGAAAAATGATAGGCCGCTACAGAAACTATGAGGCTTGAGGCTAGTTAAACCTACAGATATGAATCATTACCACTGATCTATTGGGAAACTAATTTCTCCTTGAGTTGAAAGGCCGATAAGCCGGGGTTTTCATTACTCAATTGCGTAATTTTTGAAATGATATTTTAGTTCCGATTTTTAGATTAATGCACCTTTCAGGTGTGATAACCCCTAAGAGGAACTGTCTGGTGGGAATGCGATAGAGCGTACCTTCGATTGCCTTTCATTTATGGCCTAAAAGGCTTTGGGTCCATATCGAAAAGGTAAATCGATATCTGAAGTACTGGTTGAGATATTCTAGCTGTAATCTCAGTAATAACTTGATGTATATTCATCTTCCAAATGATAATCAGGGATAGTTTGCAGAAAATTGATTTGTCGATGAAGTGCCATAGATGGACTCGAAACAGCATGAAATAAGTCCCCCAATGAAATTGACAGATAAATTGCGGTAAGGCTTCATTTATCACTAATTATCGCCTGTTATTACTGATGGACAAAGTTCTTGGTAAACAGGAAACTTTCTATGGAAATAAACAGATCCAATTTTTCGAACCGGTAGTTTTTATTATTATTTTGAAATCTGAAAATTTAAGTTTTCAAAATTGATCATACAAACGGCCTAAGTTGTCAAAAAATCATGAAAATGATTGGAACTGGAGTACGTCTTTTTGAGGTTAGCTCTAATTACTGCTATGGTAATACCTTATGGCTATTGATCTTCAGAATTGTGGCATTCTCTGCTAGGTAACAACATTCTGAACCGAAATAAGCGGTGGAAGGGGGAAGAGTTCTTGACCGAGATTAAATTCAATATGTTGGTGTTGGGCCTCGTAAAGCAGTAGATCTTTGTAGTTACCAGTTCCATGCGATTTCTAGGCCACAATTTCATGAATGGGTAAGCGACCCACCAACATATCAATCTGCACCGGTGTGAATCTTACAACTGCCTTTCAAAATACTGTCCCCATTATTTTGAAAAAACTTTACACCGTGCAACTACGAAATTGGCTCTTACCACTGACTGTTACAACCTGCCATTACATCGAGAAGTATGTATTAATATAATTCAAGAAAGAAATAGTGATGGGCAGCAGCTGCATGAGTTCTTGGGTGCATTCCAGCTGAAAGAACGGAAATGACAAATGATTGCAGAACAGACACTGCCGACAGAAACCACATGTTGCAATTTGCATGATTAATTAACGTCGAGCCGGGGGAGTACGGAGTTCGGTGCTTCAACCGCACGTGGATAAGCCGTGCTTATGTTCACAGGTTCGGATCCTGGATCGATATCCTCCTAGGCCAAGCAAGCTTTCCGTCCCTCTGGGGTCGGTTAATTGGTACTAAACTCGCCTGTAAGGATAAAAACACAGGTTGGTACATCGGATAGCTACCGCAAGGCCCTATATAGGATACAGATGCATTCAATGCGCCACCACGATTCTGAATGGAAGTCGAGTGCTGGGCGCATTCCTCATGGTTGACGCTATTGATTAACTCCCAAAGTCCGTAATCCTTCATCCTTTATGGAGAACTGTTAATCTGATTTAGTTTTAATATTTTTATCTTCAAAGATGGTTTCGCTGAAGCGTAAAATCGATATGCATCTCATTGTACCACAATGCCAAGTGTATACACTGAGACGCATATTGATTTTACGCGTTTGGAAGTGACCTTTCTCCCGTCGGTAGACATTCATACGTGTGGCAGCGGAAAAAATTCCTTCCTGTTGTTCCATATTTACGTAGTATTTTAATTTTGACAAAATTTGTGGTTATATCATAGATTTGTATTTATTTCTTCATTTGAACCTCCGAAAGAGTGTATCTACAGGATGATAATTGAAAATAGAATAGGTAAATTGTAAATAATGGTAGAGAAAACACCTTTCAAGGGCATCATGTGTGAATTATGTGCTTGGATGTCTTTTGGTTTTGATTTTTTTTTTTTTTGGAAAAAAAGGAAACGTTCCGTACGGACTGCACCCTTTTGCACTTGCCCGGGAAAATGGCGCTATCAACACCTGGCCGCTTGCTTTCTGTCATCCGATACTTCTCAATCGGATGCCAACTCGTATGTCATAACGCATGTGTTCGCACTGGCACTGAAAATATTATGAAGGCACTGAGAATAACTTTTCACGTTTTCCCGCTCAGCAAATAGGCTAGGGGCAAAAAATATTTTAATGGCTTGTGTGAGCAGAAATATTGCGGTCTGCAACGCCATCAAATTTAAGAAAACCTAGAAGTAACTTTATTCCATTTTTCAAGTGAGATATAAGTGGCCCAATTAAAAGATGAGCTGGTCCCAATACATCCACCCTGCGCCTGCTCCCTCCATCAGTCCTGACAAAAACCATAAGAAGAAAATTCTGATGTTTCTGGGGCAGAACTTTTTGCATACTGCTGGAACCTCCTCACCAGAAACTACATGTTCGGCTTCTCCATGAGAATTTAATTTGTCTAATTCTGTAGCTTTTCATTAAATAAATTGATCAATTCTCAATCAAATCTGTTGGCGGTCGGAAACTTAAAAAAATCATTTCTTTCTATTATTATTAAACCTTTTTTTAAATTTTGATAACATTTTTTAAATTTTACTTTCATAATTACTAATTAATTTGAGAACGGACTCCAAATGTGCTGTGAATAAAAATGCTGATCCAGTGAATGTTTTTCAGAAAAAACGGTACTACTAAGGGTAAGGCATTCCAAGTGAGTTTAACAGAGGTGGTATAGTAGCAAGTGGCGCACTATCCCACACGTATGGCCATGGGTTCAAGCCCCGATCAGTGGCCGCCTAAACCAAACAAGCCTTCCATACCTCCGCGGTCGGCTAAACGGCGGTACCTGGTTTTGCAAGGTTTGGCAAAGCCTCAATTTGTAGAGTGAATGTCTACTGCAAGTCATTGTATAGGCCACATCCCATTCAATAAATCCTAGCGATTTTCAATTCAAATCGAATACGGGGCGCATCCTTCAGATGGGATTGAGTAACTTCAAAAAGCCTTAACTTTTCATCCTTTAACTGTCCAATATTGATAGGAAAATATGATAAGCGGTGATAATTCATTTTGATAAATGAGAATTTATCGATCTACTAACACAATATATTCAGAGGTAAACTCCTAGTATCACTGTTCGCTACGGCTATACTCATCGCTATCACTGGATTGGCTCTCGTTCTGGGCCTCAGCAATGGAATTTTGCATTTTTCAGGTCAGAAGCACCGATTTTTGAATTTCTTTTTTTTAGTATGATACTAAAGCATTTTTCATTTTAATTTTTATAATACGTTTATTCTTGATAGTAATCCTTACCTGAGCGGTCGGAATTTTGAACTAAGTTAATTGTCTCCCTTTCTTCTATTTAAGTACACCAGCAGGGTAGTTTAAGATTAAGAATATAATAAAGAAAATAGACAATTCATAATCTTAAAAAAGAAAAGGGAAAATAATTTTCACTCGCTCCCTTTCTTCATTTTTCTTTATAGTTTACTATTTGACTGGTAGTACAGAGGATCGCTCAATCCCTTTTCATCCTGAAAAATTCATGATATCAAAGCCACTGGACTCCATACTTTCAAGGCAAAAACTGATTTTTTGGAATGTTCCGCCAAAATTACAGAAGAAAAAGTATAAAAAGCAATCCTCTCACTCTCTTCCATGCATTATTTTGTAACATGGCTCGGTCCCCTACTTCCCTTTTCGTATTGATTTGATTGTCCCGAACGCTTCTAGTGGGAATGGGAAAAGGGGGTGGGAACGTCAGCGATGGGATATATACTCATAGGGAACGGATTTTGGGAGTTCAATTATATGTGCTTGCCTTTCTAAGACTGAACAGTCGATGTGTTTGGAGGAATAAATGGCATTAAAGGCGCGGCTCACGATAAAAAGCTTACTGAGTTTCTCCTTTAGGAATACTCAGCGCCCCCCCCCNCTTAAAGGCACGTTTCACGATGAAAAAAAAGGTCACTGAGTTCTTCCTTCAGGAATACTCAGCGCCCCCATGGGTGGTAGAATAGACCCTCTCGCTCCCACAATCTCGGCGCTTAGGGCATAGTGGAAGCTCCGTTCCTGCCGTAGTTCGCTTTCCCGCCCCTCGATCCGTGTCACGTTAGACGAGTGTCGAGACAATACAGATTGCTATTATTCGTTCTAGGACCCACGCACAATCAGCTAATCGCCAAGTGATGAGGCGATGTTTTTCTCCCATTCTTTTTTCCTCTTTTTTCTTTTTGCTGCAGCTATCCCTTATTTAATTTCCTACTCCTAGAGGCTGAAAAAGGTGAGCTACTTTTGCTGTTACTAGGGATTTTCTTGTTTATTTATGCTCATAAGTGAATGAATTTTTTCTTACCATTGTCTGTTATTAGCACCAGGACCCACACGCGCGCAGTGAAACACACTGTTTAGCTCGTCCGGACGCCCCACTCTTCTTCATTTTTCTGGTTTCATTCTCGTCCAGCCCCCTTTTTAACGGTTTTTCGAAACATTTTTTTTCACTTTGGAAACACCGATGCACGCAGTTTCTTCACCTCAGTCGCACTAGTTTCGAACTTGTCTTCCATTTTTCACCATAATCTGGATTACCCGAAATTATGTGAACGGTGCCTTTAAGAGAAATTGTACTTACTCCTATATAACTCATTTATTTATTTATTTATTTGATTTTATCTTCTTATTTTTTATTTATTATTTGCATACCCTCTATAATTACTCGATTACTTTACACAGCATGGTAAGCCGCGGAACGAGGTTCTAGCAAAATGACTGCATGATGGCCATATCTGAGATCTAAATCAGAAGCAACAGCAAGGGATTTACCGTTACAAAAATACCTTACCCCTTGAAGGCTTTGCGTTTTTAGGCAATCCCAATTGTACCCGTTTTCATCCAAGAACTTCGACTTCGACCTGTTCGACAAGCTCATCTCAACAAGAATCCTTGTGCCTATCACAGAAATGCATTAGATTAGGTGAGTTTCTGGTTCCCTTCTTTCCACTTCCCCTTTCCTTTTATTTCCTTTCTTTTTTCCTGGAAATAGCTGATGTAAAGCTTTTTTTCAGCTGCGAATTATTTAAATAATATGAATAGTAATGTGGACCCATGCAAAGACTTCTATTCATTTGGCTGTGGTTCGTATGCCATCAGTCGAGCAGTACCAGAACACGAAAAGAAGTTCAACGTACTTAACGAAATGGAAAAACGGCATAAACTCCTTTTGAGAGGTCTGTACCAGTCTGAATTTCTGAATATTTTCACTAAAAAAGCGTTCAGACATACTCGAAGGTCCTTCACCCGAAACAGAGCCCCTGAGCCTCCCTCGAACCTACTATAACTCATGCATGGATGAAGATGCTCAGGATGAACTTGTAAGGATGCGTACTAGTATCGTGAAATACCGTACATTGCAAAATTCCCAGACCATGTGCTTGTTTCAGGGGACGCTTCCAATGTCATCGCTCATTTCCCAAATGGGTGGTTGGGAGTTGCTAACAAATGCTAGATTTGATGGTGCTCACTATCATTGGGAAGAAATGGCAGGTAGGTTTTTAGAGTCAATATTCTCTCAGGCAAATTCGGAATCCCAAGGTGAAAGAGATCGAGTAGAGATTTGTACCAGGGGCCACTTTATGGGGGGCTATCTATCAGCGCTATCTACCGCTCCATCCGGCATAGATCAACCGTAAGAGTAAGAATCGGCATACTTGAAACGTTATGGTCAGAAGATTTTTCCGCCCGCAAGATGTTCGAGAGCGAGCCGCTCCCCCAGTGTTTACATTCTACGCCCTTACGAATGTGCACAGGCGGCTAAACATTGTACGCACTCTTCATCCTAATGATCAAATACCAACTAAGTAGTACAGGCCTGTCAGAAAATAAGTCTGGAGACTTCAAGACTCAAGGATCAAATCCCACCCGCAATTCAACCTTGCAAATCTCTAATGTTCTTGGGGCATTTATTTACTTTGATACGGGGCATAACACACCTTCCGTTCAATCCTCCCGTGAAGAAGACTGTCCATCGCGCTGTCCAGATAAATTTGAGGTCCCCTTTCAGTCGAACAACGAAAGTACAGACTCCGAGGAAAGTAAGGCTCCTTAAAAGTAGGGAAAAGAGAGGTTGGACGAGAATACCAGGCGGAAATAGCATGAAAGGGGCATTCGGACGAGATTTCAGTTTTTGCAACTGCACAAAGAGCTGACTACATCAAGCCAGAGCTTTACAGAATTGTCTTTCATTGTCGCTATGGGTCATGGCAAGTTGTTTGAACTTCCTACAAGGGTTTCCCTGCGATCGGCGCAGCCTTTACAATGCCGGTGAAACTCGTCCGCACATACACCCGGGACAATCTTTGAGCTCTATGACGTCTTAATTAGGCCGTTTTCCGACCTGATAGCGCCAGATATAGTGTACGAGGGAGCCTCAGATCCATCCTATGGGGAAATCTCAGAAACCAATTATATCGTAAACTGTGCCTTTGACGTGAGCAGCAGTGTCTCTTATCTTCGTCCGTTGTTGTAGCTCGAAACTCCGGATTCCTCTCTGCGCTTGCGTATAACGTTGAATTCCGAGCATCCTATAGTGCGTTGAATGACCTTCATTCCATGCTCATCTCGGTTTTCTAGAGCCACGAACATGTTTTTTAAAGCAAGAGCCTCAAAGTATAAACCCACTTAAATTCATGCTGTTCAGGTCGACTGCAAATATACGGTGTTGATGGTCTTGTCAAAATTTTTGTTGGGAGAAGCTTTGAAGACAGAAATGAACATCTTCTTATGGTTTGTGAGGACTTGTTCGGTTTTTTTTGCTAGGTATAATGCGACTGTTACCTTTGCCACTGGTAACCAGTAACTCAGCATAGAACCTCCTTGAAACACCATATTACCAGAGCGTATGGAAGCAGTGATGGCAAAGCTTTCAGTTCTGCCCTCCCGAACTATTTTTGGAAAAGAAGAAGTTTTACCGTGGAGCTCCATCCACAAATGAATACCTCTCATACTACAGGCAGTACATTAGAAGTGTTCTCGAAATGTTAGGTAAATTGAGCTTCGGCGATGTTCCTTATTTATAATGGATTTTTACAAAGCCTGACTTAGTTTATTTATAATAAGTTTTTACAAAAATTGATTGATTTAGTATGGAAAAAAGCACTTATTTATTTATTTATTTTGCATTTACGGAATGAATTATTTCCCATGGAAACATGGGTAGACAAATAGGGAACAAAATTTCCATGACAATTTACAGGTGCCGATATGGAAGATGAAGCTTCAGTGATTGAATACCAGGTGAACGACATCATTGACCTGGAGAGAAGAATAGCAAATGTGAGTTTATTGTGAATTTGCCTTGAGCTTGCTATAATTTCGAGGTACCCCTTCCCATTCAAGAGCAGAAGTTCAGGTTTGGAATAGTTCATCGGTAGTGAAGAAAGCGAGACAATTTGCTGATTTCGAGAAAAATATGGCTTCCCAACAGAGATTGGACGAGATTACCGTGAAGGGAATAACGTGGAAAGGGGTATTTGGACGAGTTTTCGGTCGTTCATTTGCGCAAAAAGCTGACTACATCTAGTCAAAGCTGCGCAGAACTGTCTTCCACTGTCGCTATGGTTCATGACAAGTTGATTGACCCTCCTACATGGGTTCCATGTGGATGTTGTAGCCTCTAAAAAGCCGGCGAAACTCGTCCGAGCATACACACGGGCCAATCTTTTAGCCTTTATAACTGCCTAACTAGGCCGCTTTCCGACCTAATAGTGCAAGAGTGCACTTCCAATTCTTCCCATCTCAAAAACTTCAGAAACCATTTTGATCGTGAACTGCGCCTTTAACCCTCAAATTTACCATCTGGGGTGCATAGTCGTTCGGTTCTTGATACACTGAATGGTTTGCCCCTCTACTAATCAAAAATATTGCCCGAATACAAGTCGAAGAAGGCGCTTCCTGCATTGCTTTCAGAGAGATAAAAAGTAGACTAACTCCTGAGATCCTACACGGGATCAGATTCTTGTTAGTAAGGGTGATCAGTAACTCGTTTTACGACTCAACATGCATTCTCAAATGATTCTCAGCAGAACCCAAAAACGTAGGGCATTT